AAACGAGCTTGCCTTGCAAACCTTTTTAATTAAAGACAATGTAAAGAACAAGCAGTATATATACTAGCCATATCCTCGTCTTATGAACACTTCACTTAATAACTTAAAAGTAATTCAGCGGGCGATGATTTATTTATGTTAACTAGATGTTTGATGATTGTCTTCCTTGATTGGTTGTTCGATGTGTTGCGTTTAAAAACTTCCCTTTTCAAGCGGTAACCCACGCTCCTTAGACACTTTAACTGGCTTAATGGTTAGCAAACTTGTCTCGCTAGATAAATTACGACAGAGTAGTGAGTTCGAACATCATTGTATGTTCAATACATTCGGTTTGTACCACATGTAAGTTTTGCTTAGTAACTTTTTCAGGGTGGGGTAGCAAGAAAATAGAATCCCTTCTCAGCCTCTTGTATCTTCCTGAGGGCGAAGAAACTAGATTTCATCTCCCACTAGTGTCTGCCTGCAGAGAGAGCGCGACTCAGTTGTGTGCCTGCCTGCGGACAGAACGCAACGGAGAGTATGTTGTTTTTTTGATGTGCCCGGTATCGGGAGTACCTTCCTCATTGCACGAAAAAAGGAGATCGGTATTAAAACCAATGCCAGCGCAACCGACGTATGCGGGGTCTGGACTATTTTTGCACCTGATCCTGGTGCACGCTATCGGTCTCCCCAAGTTAAACTAACTTTGTGTAATATCCTGTCTTGGGTAGAAAATCAATCTCTTCTGCTTTTAGGCAAATATCAAAGGGTATCTATTCTTATCAAAATTTTGATTCTCTCTCTTCTCTCTCTTCCTTTGGAAAATCTTCCTTTCTCTCTCTTCCCTTTCTATCTATTCTTCTTCCTTTCTCTCCTTTTTCTCTTCCCTTTCTCTCTCTCTTCCCTTTGTCTCTCTCTCTCTTCTCTCTCTCTTCTTCCCTTTCTCTCTCTCTCTTCCTTTTCTCTCTCTCTCTTCCCTTTCTCTCTCTCTCTTCCCTTTGTCCTCTTCTCTCTCTCTCTTCTCTTTCCCTTTCTCTCTCTCTTCCCTTTGTCTCTCTCTCTTCCCTTGTCTTCTCTCTCTCTTCCTTGTTTGTCTCTCTCTCTCTCTTCCCCTTTTCTGTTTCTCTCTCTCTCTTCCCTTTGTCTGTCTCTCTCTCTCTCCCTTTGTCTGTCTCTCTCTCTCTCTTCCCTTTGTCTCTCTCTCTCTCTTCCTTCTCTCTCTCTCTCTTCCCTTTCTCTCTCTCTCTCTTCCCTTTCTCTCTCTCTCTCTTCCCTTTGTCACTAAACCCAAGTAGTGTATTTTACCCTCTTTCTGAATCGGAATAGTCAATTATTTATGAAGTACTGGCAGAGCGTTACGGTTGCGCGAACTAGCGAAGGTAGGAAAAAGCCGAATTTTAATACGATAATGGTAATATTAATATTACCCGTTTCCTGATGAGGAAATATTTAGCATTCATTGACCAAGCAGTTAATGCTGCTATCAATTGAAAATTATTAAATGTTTCATTTCAAACAATTTTTCATGAAAATAATTTTCTGGAGCCCAGTAGCTCTTATCGCTATTTCAATTATTGATGGAGGCTTACTTCCTAGCGTCATCTTCTTGGTGATGTCATTATATTCTTTTTGATTTAGAAGTGTTATCCTTTTTTCTTGTTGCAAAACCCCAAATGTTATGATTTCTGTTTGTGATTCTGTAATGTAATTCACCAGGTTAGGGTAAAGATGGTCATTGCTGAGGCATAATGCTTCACTCGCTAGCAGCCATTTTAACAAGCAATTTGAGAAAGCGGGTGTACATAGCAGCCGACAGCTTATATATATATATATATATATATATATATATATATATATATATATATATATTTCCGAGCAAATTATATACTTTTGAAACTCTCAACCGGACAAGTTTATTTAAGTACATGACTCTAGTTTTTACGTCTTGTTTTATGATATCTTGAGTTGATAAGTGAAACACGTCTGATTATGTGTTCAGTTTCTTTATCAAATTTACATTTTTTTGTAGCCAATTCATACACCGAGTTGTTTGAAGCGTTCCGTTTTTGTACATTCTAGATTCTTATTTTATGAAGGATTCAGCATACGCGCCATTATTCATTTCATTGCAATTCCAGATCATTGTTTCACTTTTGGAAAGGTCCTACGGCTTGGAACACTTGATAGAGGACACAAACTTTTTGTTCAATCTCATTCTTGTCTCAACTATGAATGTCAGCATATCCCCTACTCCTTCGCTGTAACCTGGCATTGGAAGGAATAGCAAGAATTTTGTTTTCTATTAGATTCATTTGGTATATTGTATGGGAGTGTGCAGTACTCATTCCTTCACATCTGTATACGTGCCGAGCATAGTTTAAGAGATTTCATAGAATGGGGCCGTCATTGTCTCCTTGTGTAAATCCAGATGAGGTTTGGAAAACAAAACAACGCCGAACCAGTGTATAAATAATACGCACGCTTCATATATAAATATACGTTGGTTAAAAACCTGTTGGAATTTTAAGTATCGAATGAATTGCAAAGTAATTTGATAAAATACAAAACCAAGGCTAAATGAATATAATTTGCGCAAGCAAAAAAAAAATCAAGTTGACAGCAAATTGTGACATTGTAAGGACAGCTAGTATAACTCAAACTGTTGTTTTGGCGACTATGGTCTTTGTTCATTAGTGGGTCACGTCGGTCCACTCACTGCATCAGTTTTCATATCTGTCATCAGGCCAGTGCACCAAAGGTAGACTATTTCCTTTTTTCTCCCCTGAAAGTCAAATCTACTGTCTTTTCACTGAGATAATGAACTTGTATTAATAAATAGTACAATGCATATAGTATGTATTCTCAAATGTTATTGTTTCTCCAGTGGGAAGATTTTGCAGCCTACTCGTTAGTGATGGAGGATTTGTAGGGAATGGAACAATTTCCAGGACTCGCCATTTGCAGATCTAGGTACTCGCTACTAAGCGAAAGATGCTCGTTAAAGTATTTCGGAAGAAAAAAAAATTATCTTTTCTTTTTTTTAAAATCTCGCATAGACGCTGGAAACAAACAGGTCAGTGCAGGGACTGATGAAAAGGTACCGCCGCATCATGTTATTCTTTTATGGTTTCATTCTGTTTATTTATCTCTGAGGGAGATGTGACATTCTATTTATCCTGTCAAATAAATACAAGAACCTGTGTAGCTATTTATTAGTTAAGGTAATTTGTCTTAATATTTAACTCTTATTTTACGTACAAAATGTTGCAAAAGACTAATACAAAGAAAGTGACTGTGATATTATATTAAGTGATTTTCTCACTACAGAAAGTTTCGTTTTAACCCATATATATATATATATATATATATATATATATATACCAATCAATATGTTCATAAAGATATACTATTTTCCTACTGACAGTGCGTAAACCTATCTGTAACATGATAGCGAAGACCAAGTAAAGATCATTGAGGTATATATTTGATTGGATTGATGTGAGTTCGTGACCCTGGCTTTCACGATTTTATATTTATACATACACACACACATATATATATATATATATATATATATATATATATATATATATATATATATATATGGCGCAATATACAAATTGTAGTATAATTTATGCAAAAATGTATATATCTCTGATATCTCATTTTAACAGACATATTTACCCAAATTGCATAAAAATTTAATGAAATACTAAGGAGTAATTTTTTTAAATAAAGTCGCTGTTGGCTTCAACCTCGGCCTCCAGACGACTTTGGAATCTTCTGCAAATTTCTGGGTGATCTCATTGTTAAAGTTGGTGAATGCTGCCATACATCTTTTGTGTTACAATGAGTCGGTCTCTAGCTGTACAGCGCCCCACACATTATAATCAGGCGGTTACAGCCTGGGGAGTTAGGTGGCCAGTTGTAAGACGAGCTGTGGTCACAGAATTTGTCTGAGAGCCATGACAAGGTTCTCTTGGTAATGTGGCATGGTGCAGAGTCCTTTTGCCACATAGTTTCTTCCAGCAGCCAACCTCTTAACTCACGAATGCATTACTTCCTTAATGCATTTGATGTAGACCTCCGTGTTGAGTCTGAGGCCCTGTGGCAAAGTGAATAGATGCATAACGTCGCCATCAATAATAATCACCATTAGACTCTTCCAACACTTTCCAAATCCTGCTGTTCTCAGATTGACACCCAATGACATGTACGTAGTGAAACTTCCGGTGCGAAATTTCAAATTTCAGGCGTCATGGTGCTCATTTTCACACACAGTGCCCAACTGAATCAAGTATATTGGACAGCCGACAAAATAACTAAAAAAAAAAAACAGCCAACGCACATGCTCTAAACTCAAATATAAACGTCGACAATTTATTTCGCACATCGTTCTGTTTGTGTATATATATATATATATATATATATATATATATATATATATATATATATATATATATAGTTTGATTGATTGTATCTTCTCCGAAATGCATATGAGAATGTGGCATTAGGCTAAACGATAAGATTGTGAAAAGACAGGTTATCAGTTTAGTTTTCTACTTTGTTTTGTAATTTACTCCACTGCAATTCCTTTTGCTGTCCCCATATTTAATTTACTTTATGGGACCTTTTTTGGATGTCCACGATGTATTTACAGATTAATGCCTTATTCCCCATAAAATCAAATGGCAGGAAATATTTATTTCCCCCTTTATCTCTGTGTATATCCATTCGAGTTCAGAACATCATTATACATTGTCATGAATAGGCCAAACACAAAACCAGTATTAACATTCCATCATCACTGTGTAGACTTTGAATTTTCGCCTAACACAATGAAGCCTTAATCTCTAAAGGATGCCCTTTGCCTTGCACTTGTACTGGTACTCAGTTTCTCCTCCAGAACTGAACTGAAACTCATATATATAATTCATAAGAAAATGCTAGGAAAATTGGCAGTTTCTTCTACCTCGTCTGTAAAAACCCGACTCCTGATATGCTGTATTTTATAAAAAGGCTTATGGCCATATCACGCTGAAACACCGGTTACCTCTACGATCACTGAAGTTAAGCAAAATCGAGCTTGGTCAGTATTTTGATAGGTGACCGCTGGATAATACCAGGGGATGTAAGCTTGAAGGTGCGAGTGGTGTAATGGATAATGACATAACATTTTTTAATCAGCTAGTCGAGTTCAAATTTACTTTGGTTTCTTTATAATCACCTATGCTCAAATACTCATGGGAAAGATATGGCTCTACCCTTTCTCGCCCGGCTATGGATTATTACTTATAATAAGAGTTACATCACTAAACCATTATTATTTCCAAATAAACATTCTTAAAATCTAAAAATATTTTCTGGCTTTAAATAACCTGCAAAGTGTCGATAATCCGTAGTAAAAGAATCATTTAATCTATCTTTAAAATCGCCAGATTAGACCAAAAAATGGAGTACTGCTGGGCAGGAGCTTCCCGGTTCTCACTTTCTAGTCTTGATAGTTCATCCCTGTTCCCTTCCCTACAATCTTTGTATTTCCACTGATGAAACCATTCAGGTTACTCGCTGCTCTATAATTATTTCCATGGTAAATGATCAGCCATGCTACATTTCTTGCTTCCACCAGTTCTGAACTTCACAGTTAAAACCTGCCATACCACATAAAAGTATCTTCTTCATTATGTGCCGTTTCTATTTATGATGTGGCGATCATGGGTCTCCGCAACTTCCTGTGACCTTTGTAGCTCTTAAGAAACTTTGCCTATCTCTTATTCCTCCTAAGCCCCATCCCGCTAAATATTTACTCAAGCTCACTAAGTATGTTATGCGTTATTTTCTTATGTCCCTGTTGCCCTCTATCTGTTCCGTGTGTATCAGATTTTCTAAACCTTCCTTCCTCATTAGGTCTTCCAGAAACCTGAACTGTTTGTTTCTTACGTCAAGTATTAATTTCCTAATTTTTTCCATTTTATCCAAAACTTTGTCGTTGCTAACCTATTCAGTCCATGATATCCTCAGCATTTTTCTGTAGAACCACATTTCTGTTGCTTCAAGTCTCTACATCTTCGACGAGATCGTCCAGCACTCACTGCCACACGGGAGGACAGATATCATGTAGCAGTTTAGTACTCTTTTCCGTGTTTCTAGTTAATTCTTTACTGTTTTTTAGTACACAGCTTAGATTTTGGAATGCTTCCTTGGCTATGTGAACACGCCTTCGGATTTCAGTGTCATGCAACCTGTCCTCGTTTCGAAGTACTTAAATTTCCGCACTTGTTTGATTTTTGTATCTTTGTTTTGCAACTTTTTACCTCCTCCTGCACTGTCTCCAACTAAAATCCCTTTTTCCACCGACGAAACGTTACAAGTGTCTCGCTACTCTATCGTTATTTTCATGGTACACGTTCTAATGGGCTACTTTGTTATACAGGTGTACGAAATTATGCTTTCCCTGTTACATCCTTAGCCTCTTCAAGTCGAACTTTAATACTTATCTTTCCTACATATACTTATAAACAGCACTTTTTACCCGTTTCTTATGCAACAAGATCATGCAGAAACCATCTACCTTGAGTGGCTCTTGAGACTTGAATTTGGTGAATAACAGTTAAAATATAAAATCAATTTAATAAATTACTAAAATCAATCAAGCGCGGAAATGTATTTATCAGGGAAATGTTTAAACAGATGACGGAAAGTGTGACACTGAAATTCCAAGGCGTATTAGGGTAGCCAATTAGCATTCCCAAAACTAAGCAGAGTACTAAGAAACAGAAAACCTATTAAAAAAAAAAAGGTGAAGAGAATTGCATTGCTACGTGATATCTCTTCTCCGGTATGGTAGTGAGTGCTGGAACATCTCCTCAAAGACGAAGAAGGGACTTGAAGCAATTTATTAATCATACTTATTATAAAACCCAGGTTGTGTGTGTGTGTCTGTCTGTTCGTTTATATATTGGATCAGATATCGTACATTTTTCAACCGATTTCAACAAAACTTCACCGGACTACGTAAAATTACCTTGCAGTGGTTCTGACAGCGCCAAAAATTGGAAAATCACAAATGTTTTTGTACGAAATCAATTTAAAAACACGATTAAGAGGCATTGCTGTCGCGAGAATGAAAGGGGGACAACTCATTATAGTTATACTTATTATTATTATAAAATATATTTTATATATTATTATTATTATTATTATAAAACCCGGGTTGTTTGTGTGTGTGTTCGTTTATATATGGGATCGGATTTCCTACATTTTTCAACCGATTTCAACAAAATTTCACTTTTTTTTTTTTTTTTTTTTTTTGGCAGGTATTGTTTCTTATTGTCTTGCACAATTTTTCTTTATTTTTACATTCATAATGCTTTAAAAATTCCATTTACAAATCAATTGTTTATAATCAAATTCTATTCAATCGGTAGACTCATAACGATTTAAAACAATGTTTTTGTTTGAGTTTGGGTTTGACCAATTCGTAAAAAAAAAAAAAAAAAAACTAATTAAGACATGCGTGTTCGTCAACCTTAAACAATACTCTTTGTCAATTTAATTTTTCAGTTTTTATGATGGTCGATACTTGATCTATCTCTTACTGTTACATCCCCGGGCAACGCCGGGTTCTAATGCTAGTTGTTACTAAATGGATTTGTTCAGTATTTCGGTAAATATCAAAACACTACATGTGTTGTTATGAACCATAACAATAATAAATATCAAGATATATATGCGGTTATCCAACGACACCAAGCAAATAATACTTTCTTTCCTAACATCGAAATTTCAAAATATATGCGAAAAAACATAGGAAGGAAGCAATTAGTAGATTGCTACATTACTTTGCTCCTTTAAAGTAACCCCTTTATTTGTTCTATTTATATTTTGTTAATAATCGAAGCTAAAGTCTTAAAAAATGAGTGTACAATCAACAACGATGGCGCCAAGATAAATGGTGTCTTGTCTAATGCAGAAATGGCACCATAATTCTTGTTCTTGATAATGTAGTAAAATGGTTTTCGATTATTACAGAGTATGTCACCTTGATAATAAGAAAAAAAATGTTTTCGAGTTGTGAGTGGGCAGGTAGTCATAAGACTGTGTGAAATATGTTTTGATGCAATGAAAGTAACTTTTTTTTTTTTTTTTTTTTTAGACCCGAGACAGATATCTTTGCATATACCAACGAATAACGTTTTAACTGTAGACAGATAATGATGCAGACATACGTAACCATCACATGAGAATGCGCACACACACACATATACATAAAGGGAGGAAGGAAAGAGTGTGGCAATGTTCCAATCACAGGCCATTTTGCAGTTCAGCATTTCAGTTACGAAGCATCAGAAAAATTTCGTGAAGTAGCCTGTCCAGTAATATATATAATGAAATAAAACACGCACATATATATATATATATATATATATATATATATATATATATATATATACGCACGTATGTGCATGCACACATACATATATACACATGCATGCACACACACACATATATGTGCATGCACACACAAATATATATGCATGCGCGCACACACACACACACATATATATATATATGTATATATATATACACACGCCCAAATATATTTGTTGTGTAATATATACGCCTTCACGCACCCACACATATATACGCATGTATGCATACACACACATATATACACGTGTGCATATACACACATATATATATGTACATGCAGACACACATATATATATATATATATATATATATAAAGATGGACGCACCCCCCCACACACATATATATATATATATATATATATATATATACATACACATATACTTGCACGTTGGCAACGAATATATTCATCAACGCTATCAGCATAATAGTCGATCTGCAAAAATTAAATTAAATTCTAGGATATATCATAAAACCGTCAACGACGATGACGGTGATATGTGCTTGAGTATAACTGAATTCAATTTCTATCACTGCTATTTGGCAAAAGTTGAACATCTTTGAAGGAAGGGTATTTTCACCTTCTCGATTTCTAAATGATATTTTCTCGTGGCAAGTTAAAACCAGTTACCTTATTTTTCCAAAGTATGATTTCTTTGTGCTGTAAGATGCTCAGTAATTATGGCTTAAACACATCTCTTTGATGTATTACTTGTTGAAATAATGAAAACTCTTGTTTGAATAATCCTATTTACTCGTAGAAATCTATCTGGGGAAACCGTCAATTTTTACCTTAAGATCGTTAATTTTATATACAATCCAGCACATTTTTTGAAAAATTATATTAACTATATGCATTTGGATAATTTTATCACAGTTTCATTAAGTTGCAGATCTACTGTTTGAATAATTTGAGAAATATTGAATCGTGTGTTTTCAGGTTAATTTTTAAAAAAATTAATTAATACGAAGATAATCATAAAATAAATACACAAAAGATTTAATAGTACAAGTACGCAAATCATATCAGAATAAACAGAATAAGTGCCAGAATTTTAAATTTACTTTGTAATATAATTTCATGACTAGTTATGTTTTAGTGTTTAAATAATGAATATAATATTTTTTTTTCTAAAATGATTAATACATTGAAAATTGGAAAAATTTCTGATTATCCGGTGATAATGATTTACACAGCTTAGTTTAGACTTTTTGTTCATGCTGGACAGAAATCGATGTAGATGGTTGTTGTAAGCACGAAAAGGAGGTTGCAAATGAAACGCTAATCTTTATAACATCAAGAAAATACAATACTCGCCAGCGGCGTGAAGTAGGTAAACCACTGTTAGTGATGGACTACTTAGAAAACATGTAACCCCCATTTAAAATAGTGTCCAACATATTTATGAGGATTGGTATATACCCATTAGTTTTCATACGTACGGTATGTAACAATGGTACAGAGTAATAGGCGCAGCTTATCCGAATATATGTTGAAGGTTACGGTAACACCAGACATAAGTGCCGTGATTGGGTAATTCGGTTCCACAAAGCAGCAGTTTCTGGGACGAAACCACTCTAGTGGAACGTACATTTCACCAGTGTTATACGAGGTAATGTGGGTGGTTCGTTAAATAGGAGTCGTATGGCGGGTCTTAGCAGTAAAGGATAGGAAAGGTAGTATTCCTCAAGACTGAAAGTATAG